GTTGATAAGTTGAATACAGAATTGGCTTGGTCAAAGTAGACAGAAGATAGTTGTGGAGGGGTGCTTTTCTGACTGGAGATCTGTGAGCAGTGGTGTTCTGCAAAGAACTCTGTTATTTGCCATTTATATAAATGACTTATATGAAAATGTTAGTGGTTTGATTAGTACATTACCAGATGACATGAAAATTGTTGGAGTTGCGGATAGTGAGGAAGGTTGTCAAATGATACAGCATGATATAGATCAGTTGGAAAGTTGGATGGAGAAATGGCAGATGGAGTTTAATCCAGACAAGTCTGAGGTGATGCAATTTGGGGGTCAAATGCAAGAAGAAAGTGTACAGTAAATGGCAGGACCCTTACAGAGATTTGGGGTGCAATTCCAAAGCCCCCTGACAATGACAACACAAGTCAATAAGATGGTAGAGATGGATTATGGTACGCTTCATCAGTTGGGGCATTGAGTGTAAAAGTTGGCAAGTCATGTTGCAGCTGTATAAAACTTCAGTTAGCCAACATTTGGAGTATGGTATGCAGTTCTGTTTGTCACACTATAGGAAGGAATTGGACGCTTTGGAGAGGGTGCAAAAGAGATTACCACAATGTTGTCTGCAAAGGAGTGTGTTAGCTATATGGAGAGCCTGGACAAACGTGGATTCTTTTCGCTAAAACTTCGGAGGCTGAGGGATGACTTGATAGAAATATATATTATATAAATTATGAAAGGCATGGATAAGGTGGATAATTGGAGTCTTTTTTCCATGGTGGAAATGTCAAATACTATGGGCAGAGGTTTAAAGTGAGAGGTGAATGTTTGAAGGAGATGTGTGAGGCAATTTTACCTTACACAGAGGGTGTTAAGTGCTTGGAACTTATTGCTAGAGGCGGTGATAGAGACATTTTGATAGACACATGAACAGACAGGAAATGGAGGGATACTAAATCATGTGCAGTCAGATGGGATTAATTTAGAATGGAATCATGATCGGCACAGACATGATGGGGTCAAAGGGCCTGTTCCTGTGTTGTATTGCTCTATTTCTATGTTCTCACTGTCCACAGGGTGTCCACCATCTACAAAATACAAGGCAGGAGTGTGATGAAAAACTCTCCACTTGTCTGGATGGATACAACTCCTACAACAGATATGACATTTGGCACCATCCTAGATGAAGCAGATGAAGCAGGAGCAGAAGTAACTATTTGGCCCATCAATCAGCAGCCCGCTTGACTGTCAACCATTCACGAGCTCAAACATTCCCTCCCTTAGCAATGTACAGCAGCAACAGTGTGTGCTATCTATAGATACACTGCCACAAATCACCAAAGTTCCTTCAACAACACTTCCCAGTTCCTCAACCTCTACTATCTAGAAGGACAAGGGCAGCAGATACATGGGAATACCACCACCTGCAAGTTCCCCTCCAAATCCACTCCCCATGCTGATTTGAGATGACACTGCCATTCCTTCACTGTAGCTAGTCAAAATGTCCCCCACCACTGGCTTCTCAAGGGCAATTAGGGATGGGCAATAAATATTGGCCTTGTCAGTGGCATCCACATCATGTGAATGAGTCAAGATTGCCAGTGCAGGAAATAGCATGGATAGCCTGGGAGGCAAATCTTTGTTTATTTTCTCCAAGAAAGGCATTGGTTATCTTACAATGGATCAGATTATGGAACCACCAACGTTGCTCCCAACACTCTTTTCCTGTTTGCATCAGAAGATCAAGACAAGTTGTAAATTCTTTTTCAGAAAAGGTTGGGAGGATATACATTGTCTTTCCTCATCCATGACCTTCAAACAAACCCACATTCTTGGAAACCACATGTTTTAGAGCCTAGCATGACCACAGTTTCATCAATGTTTTTTTTAAGCTGTAAGAACAAGGGGCACTAGTCTCCAAAGCAAATTCTAATGACAACAGCTTGCATAGAAAGAAATACACAGGGAAATGTGAAACAAGTATTGGGAGCAGTGGGTGGAGAGATTGCCAAGGGAAATAAAAGTAGGGGTTTGAATGGGCTTTTTATGAAGGACTAAATTTAAGAGAAACGGGAGTTATGAAATGGCAAGATCACAGAATATGAAGGCACTACCACCATTTTTTTATAGCAAGGACGCCCAAGGTGAGCTTTGCAAGACTGGAGAATGAAGGACAGAAGGAATATCAGGTAGCAGAAGTAGGATGGGACAGATAGTAAAGATGGAGAGTTTAAATTCAATATTTTGGGTGCAGAAACCATTGGAGAGGTAGTGGTGATGGTCCTAATGGAGGATAGGTTTGGAATGAATTGTGTCAGTTTAAATTTTAGTTGCAATTGGTGGAATACACTGGTGGTATGCTTCTTCTGGGAGAAAGGAGACAACCTGCCATTTAATGGACTCTGTAAGCCCTCATTTAAATCTGACAACAAGCTGTGGGACAATCATCAAGATAAATTATCAGAGGTTTGGATTGTGATCATGGGTGGGTAGGGATATAACGAATTCTGTTCCTTCAGGATCCTCAAAGTAATTCAATATGTATATTTGTAGATGTTGGTGTGTTTGCCGAGCTGGGAGGTTTGATAGCAGAAGTTTGACAGCACCTGGGGCCATTTAGATCTGGTCAGAGTGCGCAAGATGTAGGTTCCAATCAGTGCTGATCTAAAATGGCAAATAGTCTCTACCATCATAAATCCCCAGTTTCTATATTAACAGGAGCCTATCGCCTGAAAGGCGATAGGGCACCTGTTGGTCAGTCCCTTTCAAAATTGTCACATTACTGGTTCAATAGAACAGTGAAGCAATCAACTCTACTTTGAAGTTATTACCGCCCCATTAGTCTCAAAAGGAATCCATTGAACCTAGACGTGATAAAAGAATTGCTAAGAATTTCAGTAAGAGAGGGACTTGAGGGAAAGGCAAAAATGGGCAGTGCTGTGCCGGTGATGATGAACAGGATGTGTGAGGATAGAGTTGCATATTGATGTCTGATTAAAAATCAAGCATCATAACTGCCCACGTTATAGCGTCAGTAACTGTTTGCTGAGAAGCTGCTAAGATCTGACAATAGTGATTCTTGCTTCAGAAGAAAAACATCTTTTTTATTGAAGTCACAAAGCACTTTGCAGCTAAATGAAGTACTTATCTTGTTGAAGTACCTTCTAAAATGTATTCACTGTTGCAATGCGGGAAACATGACAGCCACGTTGTACACAGCAAAATCCCAATAACAATAAAGAGATAAATGACCAGCAGAATAAATATTAAACAGGGATATATGTTACCCCTCCCCCCTATTTATTTGAAAATAGGATATTTCATTTACACCTTCGCCTGTGTACACTTCCTGCAACACTGGGAGAGTCAGTCTTGAATTAGGCAGTCAAACTCTGGAGAGGGATTTGAAATGATCCCCTTAGAATGTGACCCACTGAGAATCAAGAGATGGTACTGAGCTGATCAGGGATTCTCAGGTAGCCTTGAAACAAAAATAGAAATTTCTGGAGAAACTCAGCAGGCCTGGCAACATCTGTAGAGACAGAAACGGAGTGAGCATTTCAAGTTCATAAGACCATAAGAAATAGGAACAGGAGTAGGCTGTTCGGTCTCTCAAGCTTGGTTGATATTCAGTAGGATCATGGCTGATCCAACATTCCTCATACTCACTTTCTCGCCTTCACCTTGATTCCCTGTGAATGAACAAGTATTTATCTCAGTCTTAAATATATACATGGATTCTGCCCCCACAGCTCTCTGTGACAAGGAGTTTCAAAGACTCAACCCTCTGAGAGAAGCAATATTACCTCATCTCAGTGTTAAATTTGCATCCCTTAATTTCTGAGACTGTACCTTCTGGTCCTATACACTCCCATAAGGGGAGACATCCTCTCAGTATTTACCCTATCAAGCCCCTTAACAATCCTATATGTTTCAGTGAGATCACCTCTCATTCTTCTAAACTGCAATGAGTCCCAAACTGTCGAGCCTTTGATCATAAGACCATCCCTCCATGTCAGAGATCATCTTAGATAACCTTCTCCGCAAGGTCTTTTTCCTAGGGTAAGGGAGCCCAAAACTAGAGGGCATAAGTTTGAGGGGAGAGAGAGGAAAGATTTAGAATCATACAATCCCTACAGTGTGGAAACAGGCCCTTCGGCCCAACAAATCTACACCGACCCTCAGAGCATCCCACCTGGACCCATCTGCCTATAACCTACCTAATCCATACATCCCTGAACACTAGGGACAATTTAGCATGGCCAATCCACCTAGCCTGCACATCTTTGGGCTGTGGGAGGAAACCCATGCAGACACAGGGAGAATGTGCAAACTCCACACAGACAGTTGCCTGAGGGTGGAATTGAACCTAGGTCTCTGGTGCTGTGAGGCAGCAGTGCTAACCACTGAGCCACCATGCTCAGGGACCTAAGCAGTGACTTTTTCATACAGCCGGTGGTGTGTGTATGGAATGAAGAGCCAGAAGAGGTGGCAGAGGCTGGTACATTTACAACATTTAAAAGGCATCTAGATGGGTACATGAATGGGAAGGGTTTAGAGGGATATGGGCCAAAGGCTGGCAAACGGGACTAAATCAATTTAAGATATCTGGCTGGCATGGATGAGTCAGACCGAAGGATCAATTTCTGTGTTGTATAACTCTATGAATCTGCACTGTCTCCAATGAAATGATATCATTCCTTAAATAAGGGGACCAAATAGCTTCTTCTAAAGAGGCACTCATCGCCCTCTTCTCCTGCTGAGTTTCTCCAGCATTCTCTGTGATCATTCTGATTTCAGTGAAGGTGTTGGGGGAAAACCTGGCCCCCTGGAGGACTGAAAGCAAACCAGCCCCCTCCCCACACGCACACACACAAAAGATTGCGGATGAGGATGACTTCATTCCAGCCAATAATTGGGATGTGCCGGCAGATTCGAGTTGATTGGTTCCCACTAGAGGTCGGCCTGGAGCTTTTAAGGCGTATCTCTGAGCGGGGGGAGGGGGAAATGGTCACTTTCTTTGCCGGCGCAAGAATGCGGAACAAGTACAAGTGAGAGGCACGGAGCAAGTTTGATGTGTGGCGTTGGCTTAGTGATAAGGCTTTAACCCCCTAGCTTTGCCCTTTCATCTAATTTTAAACCGACATGCAACAAGCAGGAAAAAAGTGGCTTATGATGAAATCATAGCCGCAGGAGGAGGTTCTGGACAAATCCACTCTTTTCCTTAAAAAACATAGAATATTTAATAAGGAAACAAGAAATTGCAGCTTGCTAAGTCTTGCAAGGGAGATTGATTTTTGTTTTTAACGAAAGGACAGAATCTATTCCAGCTGTCTTGATAGCATGGCGGTCGAGAGAAACAGGAGACTTTTGCAGGATCTGTTGGAGAATCCAGGGAACCAGGCGTGTGCGGATTGCGGTGCCCCGGGTAAGTAGCAGTGAGACAGGGGCGAGAAATCTGCGATTGATTTGTTAAACCAGAGATGTAAATGGGCGAGAGAAGGGGAAAGAGGATGCCAGACGGGGACACTGCTTCTGCAGGGCACCTCCTCACTGCCTCCCTTGTGAAACACCTGTGAGCAGGAAGAGCAGTGACATTAGCATCGAAAATTTGGTAATGTTGGCCAGCATCTGCGGAATGGGGCATTTAAGGAAAAAATATGTTTCACCGGTGCTGGAATGGACACAACTAGGTCTCGAAGGTTACATTTGATTCCTTTCCGAGCCATTCAAGGGGCGTGCCTTATTCTCCCTCTCTCTAATAATCATATTCCACTTTTCTTGTTAAGGGTGGGGTTTTGTTTGCGTAAGGTCCCCACTGTGCCAACAAGGCGTGCACCTTATTACAGGTGCCCCTCCAACGCAGACTTCAATGACATGATGGTTTTGTGTTTACTGTGTAAAACCTGGCACTGGGTGGATATGGACTTTGGTCCTGACTGCAATGTCAGATTTAATTACCAAGCACCAATTCTGCAAGAGGGTGAGGTAGCTCCTAGAAATAGTACATTTCCATCAGTGTTTAGAAAATGTGCCTTTTTGTTGGGGGTGGCTATTGTACTTTGCCTTCAAGGTGACTGTGATAGAGGATAGAGTACAGTAAAGAGCAGCATGGCAAAGAATAAACAGTGATATGAAGCCATCAGAGCCACTGTTAATGAGTTTTTTGGGGGACAGCAGGCAAGGCAAGGGAGATTGAGTATTAGTTACTTTTTTGTGTAATTACTTAAATTTCTCCAGGGATAAAATCAATTTTGAAATAGATTTGTAAAGCATGGCACATGGTAATTCAATTAACATCAAAACTGTATCAAATTAACTTTATTAAAAAAAAAACAAATTTAGAATGATTTAATACTGAACTACTTGATTCCCAAAACAATTATTCTTTCAAATTGTCAGGGTGTGCAAATTGATGGCTCAAATACTATTCTGAGTGCACAGCAAACCCAAGGGTTTAACGTGTCTGTAAATTCAAAATATCAAGTCTGTGCGTTGCAAATATAATTAAATTTGGAATTGGATAACCTCACGGTCCTGTCAGCATTATGATATTCCTAGCTGTATCCTTGTGAAACAGGATGCTGAATTAAACCATGACATTGTCTCTGTCTCCATCTCTTCTGCTTGTGCTAGCTCTTTTGAAAGAGCTCTCCGATTACTCCCATACCCCTGCCCTTCACTCATATCCCAGCAAACTCTTTTTTTTTAAGCAAGTACTTGTCTGATTCCTTCTGAAGGCTATATTGAATCTGCTCCTCTCAAGCAGCTCGCTTGCTGGGAGGGATGAAAAACCAGCAATAGGCCCAGTAATGAGGATCACTTTTTTAAAAAAAGCAGTCAGACTGACTTGTAGGGGAGGCAGTTCAAAAACCCCTCATTTGATTTCAGGAGAGAAAAATGTTTCCTTCTGCCTTTTGGGAAAGTAAGTTCTCTGGGACAGCAACCCTTCAATATGTGCTAGTAAATGTTTGTTTGTGTAAACACAGCTGCCCAAACACTTTACACTCATGGGCTTCTCAGGTGAGGAACTTCAATCCACAGATGACCTAGATAAAGAAGTTTTTTTTTTCAAACTGTCAAGGCCATAAAAGTCAGATAGGACAGCCATCAAATAAGACATGCTCGCAAAAGTAGCGCTGCTGAGCTTCTAAGGCTTGTATACCCAGTGTATTTGCAGTAAATATGTCAACTATATTGCATTTCATGAATTACAAATTGTTTCACGGTCACCAGCTTGAAGACAAATATATTATGGTGTTCCATGAACTGCTGAGACTTGCATTTGCCCAGTCAAGCTACAAATTATGAACTGTTTGACAAATGAAGAGCCATCTGCCTGTCTGGTTTTGTGATTGAGAACTTCAGCGCTATTTTCTCATGTATCCTGTATGTTACTGTTATTACTGAAGTGAATCCTAGGACAGGGGCCAGGGTCATTCAGTAGGACACCAACTAGGCTATGCAACCATAAAAAGCTATATTGAGGCATAGTATTTGGACAATTCCCAAGTTCGGTTGAATAAAATTCCATATTAGATTGGAAACAAACAGAAATTACTGGAAAAACAAAGCAGGTTTGGCAGCATCTGTGGAGAGAAATCAGATAATGTTTTAGGTCCAGTGACCCTTCTTCAGAACTGACTAGCACCAATCCACAATATATCCTTGAATACTTGGATAACAAGGCCCAACACAACCTTCTACAGGCTTCTGGTGACTGGCAACAATCAATTTTCTAGTGATGGCCATAATTTGTGAGAACATAAAATGCTGAATCTATTCCACAGGTTTGTTTACAAACATCTGGTGACTTGCTGTTACTGAGCATAAAGGATTTTTGGTTTTTTTTTTAAACCCCTCAACCTCTCCGGCTTGCTTTCCTCCTTTTACGAGGTCCCTTTGAAATCTCTTTAATTTTTAATCCAAGCTTTTGGTCACTTGTCCTAATACTTCCTTATGAGACTTTGTGTGACAATTGCTCTTGTTTAAGTGGGTGAGGACATATTACTGCATTGAAAGGGATACATAAATGCTAGTGGGTGCGTTTGATGACAGTGCTACAAATAAGGGAAAGCCTAATTTGCTTGAATTCCAAAAGTGCTCTGTAGTAGTTGGTCAAGTCCAGACTCGTGTATTAACCAGACAGCTCCAAAATTGGGGTCTCAAGCATGCAGTATCTGATCTTGGATTGAATGATTGGCTCCATGAAAATCATTCACTTTGCTGCCTAAAACATCATTTATTGCCAGATGAGTGACAAGGTGCTGTGGAAAATATTAGGACGTTCCTATCTTATTTTGTTGGGTTTGGTTACGGCCTAGGAGTTAATGTATTAATATGAATTCACCATACACACCATGTAAATACTGTCACCCTGATTGTTGGTACACTGTCTATTCCAATGCCAACTCATGGTGTAAGAATGCATGGCACCACCTGAATGTAAGTTAGTGTTCTTTGAAACTGAAGAATTTTTTACATTTCCATATCATCTTTCACAACCCCAGGATGTGTCTTGCACCTGATGAAGTACTTTCCAAAGTGTAGTTTGTGTTGACGTGGAAGAGTTGCAGCTTTGCACAACAGCAAATGGAGCTTGCTGTTGGTACAGCAGCTGTTTTTTTTTAAAACAAAAAGCTTTTACACCACTTTTGCAAATGCTGCGCATCCTGCTATAAAAACTTTGTCTATTATTCAATCATGGGCTGAGGGCATTGTTGGCAAGGCCAACATTTATTGTCCAACTCTAAGTGCTGTTGAAAAGGTGGTAATGAGCTGCCTTGTGGTGTGGATACACCTACTTCTAGTGCTGGTATTCTCCAGTGCCTGCTGCCCTTGTTCTTCTGGGTGGGAGAGAAGGGTTTGGAAAAGGCTGTTGAAGGAGCCATGGCGAATACTTGCAATGCATCTTGTTTGTGTGACACACCTCTGCCACTATGTCGGTTGAGGAGGCACGAAAGAAAAATTACAAAGTAGGATCTGAAGGGGCCCGTTAGGCCATTAAAACCTGCTGTATCATTCAACAATATCATGGTTGTTCTGTCTGTCTTGTACATTCCATATTTCTACCTACTCTTGATTTTTCTGATTCCCTTGCTTACTAGAATCTGTCTATCTCTGTCTTGATAATATTCAATGATCTCATTTCTATCACTTTCTGAGGCAGAGTTCCAAAGTCACACAGTGCTCTGAGGGGTGCGGGTGGGGACAGAAGAATCCCTAATTTCTGTTCTAAAAGGGTGACCTCTAATTTCAAAACAATGTCTCTTAGTTTTGGATTCCCCCTTTGGACACAAGTAAACCCACTTTTCATGTCCACCATGTCCAGACCATTCAGGATCTAATATTTTTCGAACTTCTCATCCCTCACTCTTCACAAATTCAAGTGAAAACAAGCCCAATCTGTAAAATCTTTCCTCATAAGACAATCCATTCATTCCGCGTACCACTATCTTTTAAACCTTGTCCAATGCGTTCATCTCCTTCCTTGTAACAAGACCGAAACTCTACATTGTAGACATGGTCTCACCAGTGTCCTGTCAAACTTAAGCATAACATCCTTGCTTCTTTAGTTCCTTGTGTCATTAAGGATTGCATTCCATTAGCTGCTTAATTGCTTGCTATACCCACATATTAACTTCTCATGCCTCATGAACTGGAATACCTAAATACCTCTACACTGGAATTCTGCAGTTATTCTTCACTTAAATCCTGCTCTGTTTATTTTTTATTCTTCCTGCCAAAGTAATGGATTTCATGTTTTCCCACGTTCTATTTCATCTGCCAGATTTCTGCCCACGCTCTCAACCTACCTATATTCACTGACATTCTTTTCTGTCATCTTCACAGCATGCTTTCTTACCTATACTTGTGCCATTCATTTTATTCACTTGTGGGATATGGAGTTTGCAAATTTAGTGACCATGGATTCAATCCCCTCATGTATATCATTGATATAAATTGTAAAAAGTTGAGTGCACAGTATTGACCCCATTCATCACATCCTGCCAATCTGAAAAAGATCCATTTATTCAAGTGGTGTCTTTTTCCATACAGCCATGCTCAATCCATGTTAAGTTGTTACTCCCTTCACCATGATCTCCTACTTTGCACAATAACAGTTTATGGGAAGCTTGTCAAATGCCTTATGGAAATGCAAGTATAGTACACCTACACACAACTGTGGATGCAGGAAACCTGAAGAAGGGTCACTGGGCCCAAAATGTTGACTTTTGTTTTCTTGCCAGAGATGCTACCAGACCAGAGTTCCTCCAACAACTCAGTGGTTTGCACTGCTGCCTCACAGTGCCAGGGACCCGAGTTCAATTCCAGCCTTGGGCGACTGTCTGTGTGGAGTTTGCACAATCCCCCCGTGTCTGCGTGGGTTTCCTCTGGGTGCTCCGGTTTCCTCCCACAGTCCAAACA